TCTCTCTCTCTCTCTCTCTCTCTCTCTCTCTCTCTCTCTCTCTCTCTCTCTCTCTCTCTCTCTCTCTCTCTCTCTCTCTCTTGCGTGTGCGCGCGAATGCTGGGGTGGGCGTTTCAGTTCCCTGTTGCGAAACGGGAACGAATCTTCCCGCGAAGGTGCATTCCCGCTGCCCAGTTCGGAACGTGAGAGAGAGAGAGAGAGAGAGAGAGAGAGAGAGAGAGAGAGAGAGAGAGAGAGAGAGGCGGCGAATTTGCCGCAGCCCTCCGTGCAGGTCGCGGCTCCTCTCTCTCTCTCTGTCTCACACACACACACACACACAGTGGCTCCGTGGCTCTTGAAATGTGCAAAACGAGGATGAATCTTCCGCTAGAACATGGAAAGATACACCGCCATGATTATTGTCTTTTGTGTATGTCGAGGTAGTTCCCATTTTTTTTCTTTTTTCCATGTTTTTTCTTATAATAGAGTAAATCCCGTTTTTCTGTCGTTGCCTTTTTTTTTTTTTTTCTCTTCTTTTTTCCGTGTTTTTCTCCAAGTACGTTTGGGAAGTTAGCGCCCGGTAGTTCGAGCCTCGGCAAGGCTCGGCATACCGGTCGGCCGAGGCTCGGACTTGATAGCTGGGCCAAGTACTGGTGGTTTAACGCCCCTGTAAGTCACAGTAAGTGCCTATATTGGTATGGGGGTAGTAAGAGGATATACAGTTGACGAAAAATTGACAAACTAACTTCAAAGAAAACCAGTCATAGACCACAGCCCAACGACTCAAAGGACCAACATGAAAGAAAGAAAGACGGGGAAAGGAGAAGAAGAGAAGAAGAGAAGAGAGGAGAAGAGAGAAAGAGAAAGAGAGAGAGAAGGAAAGAGGAAAGGAATAGTATGACGCAATTACAAAAAAAACGGACGCGGCATATTCGTAAAATATGACAATAAGAGCAGCGGCATGGACCCGACTAGTTTTGGCTGGCCCGCCTACCAGCCTCCTTCAGGGGTCAAGTGCTTTGGGTTAGTAGAAGGCAGGAGGTCCCGCTGGTGCCCCCCAGTGGCTCCTTCTGATCTCCTGATGGGATCAGGAAGGGGAAGGATAGGAATGGTAAGGGATGCTGGACCAGGATCCAGCACTGTCTGTGGTCACAAATCATGCAGATTCCAAAAAAAATAAAAAAAAATAAAAAAATCATGCAGAGACCTATTTTCTCGTTGAGTTGTGATATTCAGATCCATCGGATTTTGCGCTTGGCGGCTATGATTAATATAGCAATGACTCAATGAGCATGTTTTTTCCCTGTGTTTTTATTTCTTTGTTTTTCTTTAAGTCCAGGTTGTTGTGAGGCCGTGATGCTCCCCACGAATAGATTGGAGCTTTTGTCCCAAAAAAAAAGAAAAGAGGTTGGATGCTAGACAAAAAAAGTGTTTTGCAAGTTACTAGCTGGTTGGCCAATGGGTATTGTTTTTTTTTAATTTAATTATTTATTTATTTTATTTTTATTTTTTAAGCACTAGTAGCTTTGTCGATTCGGAAAGTAGTGGGCCTCCAACCTTTCAGGAGGCGGAAACGAAACGACGGCCGCCGATCAGATTTATCAACGGCAGCCGTTGTCGGGCCCGGCCTCCTAAAAGTCTGGGACTAGGCTAAAACTTGTTGAAACCGGACGGCAAAGGTACTTGCGGTTTAAACCACTAGTACTTGCCCAGCTATCGGCCATGGGAAAAAAAAAGAGTAGAAACGTTTCTAGTCGGATGAATTTGGGCGCTCCTGTAGTGGCCCGTACGTTTCCTAAAATCGTGGCGCTTTAACCGTGACACACGACTTGAGGAAGTACTCGTGTTTAACACCCCCAGGTTTGCTACTAGTAGGTGGTGTGCTGGTATGATGAGCAAACACCCCTAGCAACGCCTTTATCAACGGCAGCCGTTGTCGGGCCCAGCCTCCTAAAAGTGTGGGACTAGGCTGAAACTTGTTGAATTGGGACAGCAAAAGTACTTAGTCTAGTGGTTGGCTCCATTCTATTGATGGGGCTGTGCCGATAAAGTCATTATGTCTTGCTTGGCAATGCTTGCTTGCTGAATTGTTGATTGCCCTGGGGGGATTCCTTGCTCTGCTTGCACAAACTTTGCAGGGGGAACTATTGGAAATCGGTCCGCGCAGCTGCCCAACCCATGTTCACTGCCGCACATTTGAGGGCTTTTGCCGGGATCATGCAGCAGACCTCCTCTGTGCTCCTGAAGAAGCTGAAGGGTGTCTCCCCCGGCCAGACGGTGGAGATTTCCAGCTGGTTCCACGCCCTCGCGATGGACACGGTCGGCGAAGCTGCACTTGGTATCCGGTTCTCCACGCAAGAGCGTAGTAGCGGGCCGGACAAGGCTCTCATGGATGCCATCAGTGCAGACCTCCGCAGTTACGACCCTCACGAGAGGATGGACCTGGTCGACATCTTGACATTTTTCGCGGTTGACGTGCGACTGGTGCGGTGCTTGGCGGCATTGTCGGCACGAATCCCCGGAACGAAGCGCTATAAACTCCAGAAGAACATCGAGCGCATCAAGAGAGAATGCCGAAAGATAGTGGAAAGCCGGAGGGAGACTTGTTTGTCTATTAATAGCATCGGTAGTGAGGTGGAGGGGGAAGCTCTGACAGGAAAGGGACAAGCCACATCGTCGGAGCTGATAGGCAATTTCCTCGCATTCATGACTAAGGCGAAGGTGGATGATCCCGCAAACGAGGGACGAACCAAGGATCTCACAGATTCTGAAATGTCAGGATTGGTGAGGGACATCCTTGGAGGAGGATCAGATACCTCAGCGGGGACGCTGACCTACGCAGTTTATCTCCTGGATGCAAATCCTCGCGTGAAGGAAAAACTGACCGCTGAGATCGACGACTGGTACAGAAAGCAGGAGTCGTCCGACTTGCAGGGCAAGCGTAACCTGAAATTCAATGCTGACACAGAACCGATTCCAGATCTGAACGACCTTGTGCAGCTTCCTTACTTGCACCAGGTACATCCTATGCCTCCACACAAACACCCGCAGAGAAAAAGAAAAAGCAGCGTCTCTGTCTCTCTCTGTAAGAATTGCTTGCTTGGCTTTTACTGTTTCTTTTTTAAAAATACGGTAATAACGGATTGCGCGAGACATTCTGAAACAGTTTTCACCTTTGGCAGTAGCCGATGCAGATCCCAGGGGTCGATCCCTTGACCTCAGCTTACCTGTGTACAGTATCTGCACAGTTCCCTGGAGTTGAACCCGTGACCTGCACGATAGCCAGTGGTA